AGTCAAAGCATACTAAATTGCATTCCATCCTTAAGCTCACCTTCAGTGGAAAAGGCACTCCCTTCTTTAAAGCTTGACTTAGTTGTGGTCCTATGAACGTTTTAGCTAAGGGTGTCAATTGTTCTATAGACGAAGGATCCATGCCAGGTATTGCTGAACGATGAAGACGAACGGACAACCTACAGGAGAGTAAATTATTTTACACTTGCATCAGATCTTAAATAATGCTTTGGCAGATCAGCATAAACAAGTACCGATTTAGCTTCAAATCGCCACCTAATCTCCCATTGACTGCAGCAAGTAAGATATCGGCCTGTCCTTCGGCCGAAGACACCATAATTTGCTTTTCATGTCCGTGGTCATCAACGTACGTTAAAATGCGAGCTAAATTCATGCATGATTTTACTAATTGCAGATGGTGTTGCACAACCAACTTGACAGTCTGATAGCTCCTGCATCTCCATTGAATTGAAAATCGGGAAGACCATGAGGTAGAAGTACGAATGAGGTTGTGGTGTTGGGGTAAGCCTAAAGAAACGTTTTAGTATTCATAATCTTTATGAGAGAACCATGTAGAAAAACCTCAGCAATAGGAGGAATGAGTTTGCCGACACAGATAGATGATGTAAAGTCGCGACTTGGAGCTCCAGCACCGCAAGTTGTTGCAATAAACCCTCGATACTTCGGTGAGAGATTGTTTTTGTCCAGCTAAAAAAATATAAATTGACTCTCCGAAAATTGCGTTATGCGTCTAAGGACAGGATCTTGGGTTTGAAGATAAGATAAGAAAACTTAACTTTATCGAAAGTTTGTTGGTCTGATAGGCATGGTAGAGTAACGAGTTAAATAAGAAGTCGGACCCGTAGAAATAGAGCATACGGTCGGACTCCTGGTCAGTGTACATTGGTCTGAAATGGATGAAGCGACGCGCTAGAGATAACCCACATCGTATGTTAGCAAAATTGTCCAACTTCATAGGAATCAAGTAAGAAAAAACATTTTAACTATTCACTCACTTTGGATAGAAAGGTGTTATTTCATTATTGCTATTGTAGCGAATTTCGCCTGAAATAATAAGTGCAATTTAATCTTTAGGTTTTTGTGATATGTCAA